GTCGAGTCTGACTCGACGGCACATAACAACAACAACAACAACAACAGTATCTATGAAGCAATCTTGCCAAAACATTCGTATCTGAATTTTCAAAAACTATAGATGACAAAGGATTGTGTAAAACTACACCATGGAGACGCACAGTAAATTTCAGGTCATGGAAAATTAAAGGACAAGCAATCCAGTTCTTTCAATGAATAAACTGCAAAGAAAAAGAAAAAAAGGATAGAGGTGAAACCTATAGCTTAAAGGAAATTTGAAAGATATCAAACAATCAGAATGTGTAGATACTGTACGAATCCTGATTCAAATGAATGATACCAGAAAAAGTATACATTTTATGAGATGGTTGGAAATGTGAACATGGACTGGTTATCTCCTGATACAAAGAAATCATTAAAAAATACCACCTATGAGTATAGTATCGAAGGCTTGTTTTTCAAAGGCCTTATCTTTCATTGATGCATGTGGAAATAATGGCAGATGAACTGACAGTGATATATATAGGATTTCCTTCAAATAATACAGGAAGGAAGAAAGATGAGGGTACAGACATGGCAGGGCTGCCATGGACTGACAGTTGCTGGGGCTGGGTGATGTACGCAAGGGGAGTGTACTATTTTATCCACCCACAAAAAACAAACCCACTGCCTTCGAGTCGATTCCAATTCATAGTGACCCTTTAAGACAGAGTAGAACTGTCCCATAGTGTTTCCAAGGCTTCAAGTCTTTAAAGAAGCAGACTGTATCATCTTTCTCCCGCAGAGTGGCTGGTGGTTTAACACTTTCCCTTTCTCAGTGGCTGGTGGTTTTGAACCACTGACCTTTTGGTTAGCAGCTGAATGTTTAACGACTTCGCCACCACAGCTCCTCCTATTTTGTCCAGTCTTACGAATATCTGAAATTCTCCTGATATGAAAAGCTTTTAAAAAGTCACAAAAAAATGCTTATTCCTGAGCCTCAATCTAAATGTTTACTGGAGGCAAACAGGGTAAGTGCCGGAATATTTTCAAATTAAGATTTATCATCAATCTGAACAATGAAATACTATTTCTAAAACTTGTTTAGAAAGTGTATCCAAATTAAAAAAACAAATAAATAATGAATTGTTCTTTAACTAGGAAGCCATAAAGGAATTATGGGGCAGTGTCACGGGTTAAATGTCCTGATTCTTAAATAAGTCTCCTCTGAAGATCACATTTTCCCCCAAACAATAAAAATGTAACAGAAAACAAGGACATAACATGTCAAATATCAATTACAGAGGTCAAGAGAAGCACGTGAATGAAGGCAGGAACAACTTAGAAAAGGCAGCTGAGAAGGTTACACAACTCCAGAAAGTAATCACTGTCATTGAACTGTACTGTACAAACGGTTGACTGGTTCATGTTCCTCCCGCTGTGCATACTCTCAACAAAAAACAAATTTTAAAAAAGTGAAGAGAAACAAAGATCAACATGCTAACATGAGAAAGAATGTCAATGTGCCCATTCTTGGTAGTCTAAGGGTAGAACACTAAGTGAAATGTTCACCTGGGCCCACTAGTTCATATTTAATACTTTCCCTTTCTTAGTAACAAATTTAATGCTAACTCTATTATTCTGACAATTCTGAGCACAGAAAATACAAAACCCAAAAGTTGTTAAGTATAAGCCTTAATGAAACCATAATTAAATATATATTTATAAAACATAAGGTCATACTTTTTAAAGTTTTTAAAAAATTGTTTCCTTATTAGCTTGACTTACAAAATCTCAAGGTAGTGGGTTTCCCTTTCTCTTGTTTCCCCTGCCAGCCAATAGTTACCTTTGATCCTTTCACACAAGTATTCCTGATTGGGTGTCAGATCTAGGTACTGCACAATTGTATTCAGCGTTGGAATGAGAGGGGCTTTGACCAGAGCAGCTTGCTTCAAGCTAGTAATACTGGCCTCTGTTAAAAACAAAACACGCAAAACTCAGACTGTCTTCCCGTACACCTCTCCCAGAACTTCAGGTACTCTTCCGCACTATTCAAATACTAGGCTAACTGCCTTGCCACCAGCAAGTTTTTCCACAAAGTCAGTGAGGTGGTCCCTGACCATCCTAGATGTCAGCCTCCTACCCCTAACGTTTAAAAACATTGTTTTCTGCTATTTCTCTCTCTTAGCACTAATTAGATAGTGATCTGTTGGGAGAGTCCCTGACAGTAAATCAAACTCTGGGCTCCATTTCCACAGACCTCCTATCTGCAGCTCCGGACAACCCATCCGTCTCATCTGGGTGCTCACAGACTCGATCTCTTGCACAAGTGGCACTAATATGGTCTCATTGATCCACTGCGAAGAAAGGAGAGTTTCCACACATAATTCCAAAGAATTTCTCACACAGTTTCATTTTGACATGCAACTCTTTTTGAAAACATTTACTGTACTTGAACATTAACAGAGGCATAAAATACAGTGAAAAAGAACAGAAACAGCCACTACCTGAAGTCTAGGGAACGATACATAAATATGCTATGGGTATGTAAGTTAGTAAGTGAAATCCTAAGATTATAAATGCCTATTTTCACTGAAGAAAACAGAAAACTTTCAGCTGTATATTGTTTTTCTTAAATTTTTCTATCTATGAATGTTCTCCTTAGCTAAAAGGATTATACTTTTAGCTTCAGATTACACTTCTAGGGTTAATTATTCATGCATTTATTCATGTAATGTTTATACTGGCTTTGATCAGTAAAATGGTTTTCCAAACTAACATAACTCATTAATTCTATTAGGAGGTTCACCCAACTGCCCAACCATGCTGAAAACAAAGATTTATTCTATTTGTAAGTGGTCTGTAATATTTTAGGGCTAGGAATTTCCAATGCTATTTTCCATGGTCAGTATCAAACTGATTATGGGATGTGAAAAGACTAAGGAAACATCCAGCCTCGTTTGTTTGTATGTGTGTTAGTAGCAACTTCAACCATCACTTGTTGTTTATATGCTGTTATTTAACCATGAAATAAAAGGATAAAAAAGTTTCAGATGAACTGTAAATCCACAATTCTTTATAAACAGTTCTCAATTGAAAGAAAACCAAAAGCTTTCTGGTAATCCATTTAGCAAGCAAAATCTGATCTGCTGACAGGAACTGAACTGAATTTACATGAAATGGTTTTAGACCTTATCCCACTTCGTGTGATTATTTGGAGTTTGTTGCAGAAACATTAAAATGGCTGATTACTGGACGCCACCCTAGACCTCACTGGTGGAGCTATAAAATCTATGGTACAAGTGTAACGCTTTTTGAAAAATAAATATAAATTCTGAATTTCTGAACACTGTAGCCTAAGGAATTCAGATAAGGGATTGTGTTCACATTTCTTCTAAGTGGCTAATACTCCTGATCAAGACTTCGTATTTGAAATACATTAGCATTTTCAGATAAGCCTATAAGCAGAGATAAAAGAGAATGTAATTTCAGGACATCACTTCACTCATTCATTTTTCCAGCACTGATTAAGTGCCTTCCAGTTGCCAGCCATTCCTTGGCTGCAACAGAATTAATCACCTAAGGGGACGAGGAGAGAGGTCTTGAAATTCTGCTTGCGTAGTTCCGGGGTTGGGTCCAGGGATTCTTATCCTTAGAAAGTCACAATGGCTCCCGGCTTGAGAAAGTCAGCTGTATTTTTCACCCTCTTCTCTTGATAAACCAAACCCAACCCACTGCTGTTGAGTGTATTCTGACTCACAGCCACACTACAGAACAGAGTAGAACTGCCCCAGACAGTTTCCAAGGTGGTAATCTTTATGCAGGCAGACTGCCACTTCTTTCTCCTGCAGAGCAGCTGGTGGGTTTGAGCCGCCAACCTTTTGGTTAGCAGCTGAGCACTTTTAACCACTGCACTACCAGGTCTCCTCTCTCTCGATACTCTGTTTAATTACAGTAAAAGAATAAAACAGGAATACAAGAGACTCCAACACATTTCTAGAAGATGTAGAGTGGTAGACGAGTGTTGAAGGATGGAAGAGCAGAGGAAGCGGCAGCTCAGAATGTAAGTGGAGCTAACTGCAGTGGAGGAAGAAGGCAACCTGCCCAGCAAAACGTGGGCCATTCAGCTACTATGGAGAAGGTGGGAAATAATGAACTTACTCACTCTGTATGTGGAAGAGATGACCAGCCCAAAGAGTAAGGGGTTCTTCTCTAGGAATATCCAACAAATTGTATCTAGTCTGAAGTAGCTGTAAGCACGTATTATCTTACCTCTCTGTTTCAGTTTTCGGAGAACAAGGACCCTATTTTTCTTTCCCTCACAATTCTAGGCACATAATAGGCTCTGACAGAAGCTCTGTGAAAAATGAAACTGATAAAACTCAAAAACATAAAACAGACCAGGTTGACTGGTCTGATAGAGCTGGGTGAGACCACCAAGACTATGGCCCCTAGTTACCCTACAGGTCTGGAACTGAACTCACTCAGCCAAACAACAGATAGGCCTACAGGGTGAATTTACACTAGGTAGATACACTCCTTAGAATGATCAATCATGGGAGAACGGAAGGGCAGTATTTGCACAGGGAGCTTGCTCAGAGGGCAGGAATGCATAGGAAAGGAGGATACAGGGAGGAAGTGGGAGGAGAGCTGTTACACTGTGGGAAACTGAAGTCAATGTCATGAAACAAAATGTATATGAACTGCTGTATGGAAAATGAATTTGCTCTGTAAACCTATACCCAAATCACAATAAAAATTAAAAAAGAAAAACTGAGAAACTAGAAAAGGGAGGTAATTCTTAATAACTAAGTACCATGTGCCTTTATTCTCTCAAAATAAATTGTATTACTAAATACAGAGGAAAAAAATCCCTATGAAAACGGACACCATAAGGTGTCATGTTTATCATTCACTCATACTCTGTATTTTAATATAATTATTTCTAATAATTAGTAACAACTCTAACACTCTAGCAACGTATTTTGCAAGAGGCAATAATACTGTCCCAAGAGTCATATCAAGACTTACATTTCTGAACTTAGCTGTCCATGAATCCGTATGTTCAAGAAGTTGTCTATTCATAGCCACTCTTGCCCAAACCTATTAAAAATATATGTTAAAAAAATGAATAATCAGTGAGGGAAAACCTTCTCAGAAATCAGTCATTCTTTCTCTGACCCGCAAAAATATTTGATGCATTAAAAAAAAAGTCTACAAACATCAATAGTCCTAATTAAAACGCAGTTACTATTATACCCTTATAGTTAGTTGTTCTTCACACAGATAGATATGTCTTTAAAAGTTCCTTTCACTGGTATATTTAAACAACATTCTTGCTTTTACGAACAAAATAAAAAACCTACATTTGGCATTAAACTGGTGAAGTTATAGACACCAACTGTTCTCATCCAAATGTATTTTAATAGCAAGAGACCTGTCTATGTTAAGTACAATTCAATCTTGGACAGCCTTTTTATAATGAATGCAGAAGAATGTTTTAGGTAGGACACTCATGTCATATATGTGTCATAAACAGTAAAATGTACAATCTAATTCAGTACTAGGTATACAGAGTAAGACGGGAGGCTTTCTACTATTTCACATGTGCCAAATTTATATTTCCATACAGTAAAAGTGGAGATTTCAGAAGGAAAAAAAAAAGTCTCAGAAGACCTTGTAACCATCTGTAGATTATAAATATTAACAGTCACTTTCATCTTTCATTTACCTCTTCTGCAGCTTGTTTAGAACTGAGATCCGCCTCATCTTTGTTAGCACATGGGGCCTGGGACCTACATGCAAGCTGATACTGAAATTTCTTTAAAGTTTGTGCATAATCCCCCACAGAACGGCTGTAGGTCCAGAAAGTAGGGCTGGTAGATGGAGAAGTAGAATCCGGGCTCCCTACAATGATTAATGTAAAGAGTCTCAGTCTGTTGTAGTCATTACTACCCTAGAGTTATAAAATGAAAAAGAGTATTCTGAGTAGTATCAATTTAAGAGTTCTAAGAGCCTAGGATGGACTCAGGAATAGGAGGGATTGTACGGATGGCACAGGACCAGGCAGTGTTTTGTGCTGTTGTACATGGGATCAATGTGAGTCAGAGATGACTGATGGCACCTAACAATCATAACAAGAACTACAAGTGGTCCAAAGCGTTCGCTTATTTTTATTGTAACATTAAGCTTATTTGATTCTCTAAAACTTGAAATAAACTGCAACAGTATTCAGGTCACTGGCCTTTTCATTCATTTAACTCTCCACTCTCCATTTTTTTTTTTCCCCAGATAGAATTTGACTTTTTTTTTTTTTTAAAAGAGAGAGAGAGTTACCAATGGGAATACTATCAAAAATCAAACAATTCAGAGAGAAACAAACAAATGATGAATTTCTTCAGAAATAAATAGGCTAAGCCAGACTATTTACAATGGCAAAAAGATGGAAACACCCTGGGTGCCCATCAACAGGAGACTGGATAAGCTAACTATGGTACACAGACATAGATACAATGGAATACTATACAACACTGAAGAATAATGTAGAATCTATAAAACACTGCGTAACATGGATGAACTTGGAGGACTTTATACTGAGTGAAATAAGTCAATCACAGAAGGACAAATACTGTATTAGTTCATTATTGTAAAAAGTCAAGCAAAGGTTTATATATGGAAGGAAACTTTCTTTGTTGGCTACCAGGGGTGAGAGGGGAGGGGAAGGAATACTGCAAAAAATACATAAAAAAAATATAAATAAAATAAATAAATAGTGTGGTGTAGTAAATTACTTAGTGTGGCTTTTCTACCCATAAGTCTTTGTAAACTCCAAGGTGGGATTTTCTATGAGCAACTGAGGAG